TATATATATATATATATATATATATATATATGCTATGTACATTCACATTATGTACACCTATCTAGTGTATATATATATATATATATGTATATATATATTATATACATGAGGCCTCAGTCTAGAGCGGCAACGAAGGGAGAGGGCTGCATATGCGCGATTCAAATATAAAGTCATCCTGTTGGCTCTCCTTAGTATATATTATATAATATATTATATAATATATAGTATATAATAATGCATAATTATATAGTGTATTATATATAATGTCTTATCTATGAAATATTATATATATATATATATATATATAAGCGAATCCAAGAGGATGTCTATTTGCCTGAATTGGTGTAAACTTTGTTGCATTTTATTGAATATGTTTAAGGCTTGTTTAATGTGGGTTTATTATAATTTAAAGGTAATATATGATTGTTTAAAATAGGTTTCTTATCATTAATGTTTCGTAAGGGAAGCAACTGACGAGCTGGTCATACACCTCAAAAGGAATAATGTTCAGTTATTCAGCTGTATAAACAAAATAAAAGCGAAGTAATTAGTAGTAAATGCACAGAGGTAAATAATGCAGAATATACAGCTAGTGGTAAACAAACAAAAAGGAAGCCGCAGCTGCTGCTGCAGATTATTCTAAGAAAATAAAGCTTTGTCAATTTGCAGGAGTATATAATATTAAAAGGATAAAATCAAATATTTAAAATAATTCCTCATATGGTCTGAGAGAAGAGTTAAAGAAACTGCTTTCTGTTGATGCAACCTCTTGGGAAACCGCACACGACAGAACATGAGGTAAGCTGCGATGAAGGTAATCAATTTAATATTTTTTCGTTGCTAATAAAAAACAAATTTTATTGCAATTAATAAAATTTGCATGCATTGAAAAACACTACGTCGCAGGAGGGAGATGGCTGGAATTCATGCGAAATAACCAGTGGTCACTACTGTTACATTTGTTTCATAGAGTAGGTAGCCACCGAAGCTTCCGATTTTTTGCAGATCTGTTTATTATTTGTTGCTTCCTTTTTATAAATTAAATTAAAAAACCTAAAAATTGCAAAACAATTGCAGGTTTCAACACAGTGGAGGCCGCGTAGCTCATCGGCGCAGACGAAGCCTGAATGTACCGCCAGCATCTGAACGTAGGCATTCAGAATCTGTTTATGAAGGAAAATCGTTCGTTTTTTAGCGATTTGTTTCCTTTCATGAAAGACTTTGTTTTATTTCGATTAAGATTATCATCTGAAGCACCTCTGACTTCTCTTTCTTCAAAAAGAACGTTCAAGTTGAGCAGCCACCGCATTCGCAATGCAGTGGTCGGCTACCCCGGCAGAAAGCTGCGGGAATTCATGGAGGCAATTGCCTCTCGCGGAGAATATTAAAGGTATTTCGGATAATAATATGAGGAAACAAACAGTAGAACGAAACATATCAAGCAGCTTTCCACATTTGCCGCAATGCAACTCGAGCCGCGACTTTGAAGACATTCCTTTGGAGGAAGCTTTTCCTGAAAAGGCGAATGAAGAACACCAACGATCATGGGACTCTTACGGTCTATATAAACAACAGAAGACGCTCTTTGACCCTGATCAACCTATAGAAGGAGGCGGGGGCTCTTCACCGGCTAAGGTAGAAAAGGAGAAGAAGTCTGGTGACTTACTGCAACAAATACTGTCGATGGTTTCGTTTCAGAAGCGCCTTCTTGGAACTCTGTTTTGTTTTTCTCTTCCACTGCTCATGTTTATAGGATGGAGTCCTTATGACGTCCGAGCGCGTTGTTTATACGTGATTGCAGTGATGGTTTTATGTTGGCTTTCAAATTGCTTAGACCCGTACGCCGTTGCGTTGCTTCCTTTTGTTTTATTTCCCGGTCTTAAGGTTGCATCGGTCAGTATGGTGGCTTCTTCATACATGAACTCAGTGAGTTTTCTTATCTTTGGGGCCAGTATGATGGCTGCAGCACTGCAGCGCGTGAAGTTGAATGTTGCAGCAGCAAACTGGCTGATGCGTATCTCGCCTAGACATCCGGAGGATTTGGCTTTATGTCTCATGTTGACTTGCTTCGCCGTCTCTACTTCACTTAGTAACACTGGAACCATGTTGATTTTCTGTCCTATTATCGATCTTATGGTTAGAGGGCTGAAGCCTCAGCAACTCCAAGGGGGAAGCGGAAGCCCCTCTGCAAGTGAAGGAGAATCAACAGGTTCTACTGCAGCTAACAGAGACGCCAGCGGCAATCTCAGGGCACATGAGGGCGACTTAGAGAGCGCAACAACACTGCAGCAGCAGCAGCAGCAGCAGCAGCAACAGCAGCAGCAGGAAGAACAGCGCCGCAACCCTGCAGATTCAGAGAGGCTAGCAGCTGTTTCAGAGAAGGCTAGTACGAGCTGCGTTGCAAAATATCCAACAGAACCATTAAATGCCTTGGGAGTAGCTGAGCCTTCTCCTGTCTCTACAGCAGAGCATCTATATTCAGGGGTAGAGGGGCCTCTACCTACACTCGAAGAAGAGATATTGCATGAGACTCCTTCTTTGCGGCGTATACGAAACTTTTTGTTTATTGGCTGTGCATATGCAGCAACTTTAGGGGGATCAGCAACAATAACAGGCTCTACAAGCAACGCTATCTTTCTTGCTGTACTTGATGCAATGTATTCAACAGCCCCAGGGGGTTCGTCTGCTGCTAATCCTGTTACTTACACCACATGGCTGCTTGTTTCTCTTCCTCTTGCATTTATACAGCTTTTTATTGTTTGGATTTCACTTAGTGGCCTCTGGATGGGCCCCAAGACGACGCTGCATGCACTCGCGAGGCTTGCGCGCTGCTGCATGCAGCCCCTCAAACTCTGTTTCTCTTGCTGCAGCAGAAGCAACACATGCATGCGGAGCAGCAGCAGGCAGTCAGCAGCAACAGCAAGAGAAGCAGCAGCAGCACATGCAGGGGAAGAATCTCTCGGGGGTCTCGTGACAGATAAGAGAGGCACCGGAAGAAAGGGAGATCCAGCATCAGCAGCAGCAGCAGCAGCAGCAGCAGCAGCAGCAGCAAACGCATGCACAGAGAAGTACCCAGAGTTATACTGGGCCCGAGTGTATGTAATCGCTGCGTGGGTGTTATTAATATCTCTCTGGCTGTCTCGACGCACTATTATTCAGAGCCTTCCAGGGTGGGGGGTTCCTTGGGAAGGGTTTGTTGATGATAGCTGGCCTGCAGTGTCTGTACCTCTTTGTCTTTGGTTTGCTCCGCTGCATTCAAGATGTTCAAAGCCTTCTTTCGTTCGAGCTGTACGTACATCGCAGTCACTGCATTTGCTCCTTTAGATATTTACGTATTTATATATTTACTTCTTTTCTTTGGGCTTCGGGATAGCAAGCAACAGAGTGCTGATGGATTGCTTCTCTTCTTCATTTGCTGCTGCTCAGCAGCATTTTTTATTTTTATCTTTGTTTTTGTTTTTATGCAGATAGATGCGCCTGTTGCTCTCTGGAGAAGAAGAAGAAAACAAACGAGGGGTCGGGTCAACGTTGAAGAAACTGCGAGTGCTGCTCAGTTACCGTTGGGGCCTCTTCAGCGTGCTGCTGCTGCTTCTGCTCCTGCTGCTCCTGCTGCTGCAGCACCAGCAACACAACCATCATCAGCAGCAACAGCAGCAACAGCAGCAGCAGGAGGAGCAGCAGCAGCAGGAGGAAGCGTTCAAGCAGTTAAGCCGTTTGAAGGAATATTAACATTTTCTGTTATTGAGAAGGAGATGGATTGGGGTTTATTATTTCTGCTGGGTAGCGGCTTTGTTATTGCAAGTGTTTCGCACGTATGCGGGCTCGAGCTGGTGTTAGTAAATAATATGAATTTCTTAACGCAGCAAAGTAAAGCAATTCAGGTTGCATGCATAATGTTAATAGCTGCTTTAATAACGCAAATTACTAGCAATACTGCTACAGCTAGCATTATAATGCCTCTCTTATCAACAACAGCCAAAGGACTTCAAGGAAACCCGCTTCTCCTCATGTTAGCGGCAAACGTAAGAACATATACTCAGCTGTAGCTACACCTTCTATATTGGCTGCAGCTAAACAGCAGCACATGCAGCAGCACATGCAGAAGCACATGCAGCAGTACAACCAGCAGCGCATGCAGAAAGAGAGTGCAGCAGCAACAGAAGCTGTGGTGCTGCTTACTTAAGATTTTGTCTCTCTATCGATAGCAAACCTCTTTACACTCCTTGCTCATGCACAATAAGATCTAGGCCTCGGTAGTATATACCTGCGTATTTATTTGTTTTAACGGGTGTATGCTGTTGAAATGCTTGTTTGTTTGTTTGTTTTTTTGTTTGTTTTTTTGCTTCAGTTTGCTACAACGCTGGGATTCTTACTCCCCGTCAGCACCGCCTCTAATGCAGTAATTGTCAGGTTTACAGAAATAGGGGTCAGGCAGTTCTTTCTTAGCGGTCTTCTTCCGCTTTTCTTTTGTCTCATTGCTGCTTACATCGCCAGCTTCACTTGGGTTGCAGCTGTATTTAAATTGTTAGAGCCTTACCCTAATGAGCCTCCTCAAACGCAGTAAACATAACTTGCTGCATGCGCTTCTAGCTCCTCTCTAACAGCAGGTTCTTGCATGCATATATATAATACATGCACTAAGGTAGAGAGGTATGCATAATATATATATGCGAGGCAAATCTGAGGGTATCAGCGTTGTGCCTTTAAGACGAAGACGCAGCAGCTGCTTCAGATTCCTTGTGCAATTCCTCTTGCAATCGATTTAAATTATGCTGTATCCCAGACCAACAACAAAACAGAGACGAATATCCATGCATGCATGCATGCAGGCATGTTCATCCCTGCACCCCTATATATATATATACATATATATATATATATATACGTTTATAATTTGTATATAACCAATGTTTTCACGCATCTGCATTTGAAGTGCCTCCCACTAAGCCAGCGGATATATGAAGAACTCGAATGCTTTTTTTTGTTTGTTTTATTGTGAATTGAAGTTTGTTGAGGTGCGTGCATGCACCAATACACCGTAATTTGTCTTTCTTCGTCTTGCATACAGAAAGAAGAGACAACTGTGCTCTGCCTTGTTTGTGTTTCTTTCCCCTTAGCACTAAAGAAAAATGCGTGTTAGTCTCAGCCGCAGCCTCTTAACAAACCATCTCAATCTCCTCAAATACATCGCGCGAGGATCCCCGCGCCGTTGTGTTGTAAATTGTTTAAGACTCACAATGTTGTATGCATTGCATGCATGCATGGATATATGCATGCAATGCATTCATGCATGCATATATGCATGCACTATGCTCGTGCATGCACATACGTATGCACTGTATTCATGCATGCAGATATGCATGCAATGTGTTCATGCATGCATGCATGCATGCAATGTATTCATGCATGCACATATGCATGCATGCATGCATACATACGTGCATGCGTTTGAACTGAGAACCCAAACCTTCCCCTCCCTCCCCTCTTTGCCTGCCGCGTACAAACGGCTCTTCCTTTGTCTTCCTAGTGGACCCTCTCAGCCCTGTTTTGCTTCAGTAGACTCCCAACATATATATATATATATATATATATATGTATTATTCAAATACAAATCAGGACAAAGAAGCAGGAATACGAGGGTTTCACTTGCAGTTGCGTATGGATACATTTGTTTGTATAGGGATACATTTGTTTGTATAGAACAATACGAATAGAAACCCCTGCATGCCGTCTTGTCTTCCGTATTCTAATTCTTTTTGATCAAAAGAAAAAGTTCTAATCTACATCCTGTGATCCATATTTTTCAACAAGTTTTGTCATACCTCTGTCATAGAAACGCTTAATCCTCTTCCAGAATCCAGGGTCTTCGGGGGCTTGTAAGTCTGCTTCAGCGTTTTCTACGTAATCTTTGAATCTGTCTTTGTTTTTCTCTTGTGTAGATTTGAATACCTCCAACTCTTGTTCATAGATATCTACTGGGTTGTTCTTTTCTCGCTGACTTTTTGCCTCTGCTTTTCGTTTCTTCTTTTCTTCCTTCTCCTTCTTGAACGTAGGTGCTTTATCAACAAACTCCGTAACTGATGGGCCTACATATTCGTCTTGCTTGGCGAGGGAAGAAACATCTAATGCTGTTCCTTCTTCGTCTACAAGTTGTACTTCTTGTCCGTTATACACTGTCGCTCCACTGCTAGATGTGCTGTCGCTTTCGTTCTCTGCTGCTTCCTCGTCTGTCTTTTGCTCTCCAGTAAATTTCATGTTCTCTTCCTTATCGTTTAAATCTTCTTCACCTAATAGTTCTTCAACTTCCTCTCCCTTCTCGGGGGCACCCGTGTTGCCTTCAGGCTCATTCGTTGGTGCAGGTTCGAGGTCGTCTCCATCCAGCAACAGCTGTTCTTCTACTGCTCCTTCTACTTCTTCTTCTTCGTACAATTGCTTCTGTTGCTGCTGTTCATTTTCATCTGTTTTAGAAGCACCAGAGAATTCTTCTTCATAGTCAAAGTCCGCTACATCGACGTCGCCGGCATCCGCTGCATCAGCGTCTTCCTGCTCCTCAGAAGCGGAAACCCATTTCTCACTAGGAACATATAAAGCCACCAGACTCAACGAAATTAGACAAACAGATCGTCGCAAATTCATCTTCTTTTACCGTCTTTCATGAACGTCGATACGCCGCTTCCACCGACGGATTCGCTCCGTTCCAATTCAATAACGCATTTGCAGAGGCCCTGAAGCCTTTCAACAAACCCCCTAAACAAAAAAAATCATAAATGCGTGAGCAATGCACCTAAATATGCCGCTTCCGTCCATAAGACCCCAATGGAGCGAACAGAACAAGACGCAATCATGCTAGCAGAAGCCCGGACCACTCATTCAACGTGTTGAGATCGTCTCGAGAAGAGGCGGCAGCAGTAGGGGCGGTAACTACCAGGCAAATTGCATTAAAATTATATTATTGAAAAGAATATACAATTTAATTCATAAAAATACAACTTAGTTCATGAAAATTTAACTGCTTTTGTCGCTTTACCCACCGGCGCCTCGCAGCTCAACTACCGCTTCAGCGGTACGTTCAGATTGTTGCGGCGAGGGAGAGCAGTAAGGCTTTGAATAAGAACTTTTATTTCTTTTTTAAAAACAATTTCATATCGAATTATAAATTAGGATACATTTTTTATCAGTACAATTCCAATAAATACTCTATCAGACCACTAGAAGCTGTATTGTCTACTGCATCAGTAGGATAGGCATCGAGCGAGCTGACGAAAAAGCAGACTTTTCTTTTCTTTTGTTTTTCTTCACTGTCAATTATTTCCCAACTTTCCATCCTTTTCTTTCGTTGAAATTTGCTTTTAATTACTCCATTTCTTGCGCCCCCCTCCCCACCCCGCGTTACTACGGTATACCATGTCCGGCTGTTGATCTGAATATAAACACAACTTGAATCTTTTTGCACCTATACAGCCTGAATAAAAGGAACATATTTTTAATTTAGAAGAAAGCGTCTGCTTTCCATTTACTTTCTTCGTACAAAACCAGAAAAAGCATACAACACAAAACTTCAATAAATTGCACGAGACGTTCTTAAATCCAAATATACTCCGAATAGTTTGTTTGTTGTTGCAGCTATTTCTCTGTTTACCTACTTTAGTATTATTTATTTAATTCATACACCACCTTTAGCTGTGCTTCGTCTGATTGCACTTCGTTTTTTAGACACAGACGAACTTCGGATGTTGAAATAATGAGAACGGCTTTTTGTATGCCACAGTCTTAAAGCAAAACGGGCGCCGCATATATATATATATATATGATATGTATATAATATGTATGCATATATATATATGGATGTATGTGTATGTAATTGCAGTAGTAATCATTACTTGTAATGGTAATAATAATTATAGCAGAAACTGTAATAATAATAGCAGAGGTAATAGATTAATAACAGTAACAGTAACATTAACAGCAATCAATAATAGTGATAGTAATAATAATAATAATAATAAATAATAGTAAGAACAATGACATACTAATAATAATACTAACAGCGTTGGGTGCTCTGATTGCAACAAACCGAATGCAAACAAAGCATTTCTCTTGTCTTCTTCTCCTCAACAGCAGCAGCAGCAATTGCTGCACTGACGAGAGAGAAAACACCAATTTAAAGAGTAAATATCTCTTTCCGCGCAAGTTTACTTATTAGAGTGTACACACATGCATGCAATGCATGCAATGCATGCATGCACAATTGTTTTTTTTTTTGAGAAGGGAGGTGCCTCAGCCCCCTCTCTTTGTCTTCATATATATATATATATATATATATATATGGTATTCGTTTCATGTTTTTTTGACATTTTATTTGTACAATGACAGTGTTATCATCAGAATACGCGTATAGAAGAAAGAACCTCCCCAATAGACAAACAAAACAACAAAACAATCAACAGGCTTTCTTTATGCTGCACTAGCAAATCAGCACTGTTCTTTTATCTGCTGTTAATGACGCATCTTTATCTCTTAAAGAAAGTCAGAGGGAGATCCTGTGCGAAATTTGGGGTGTATAGACAATAGGCGGCAGCCGTTATATTGAGGCTGCATTCAACAACAAAGCATATATATATATATATATATATATATATATATATAATGGGTAATCATATATTAATAATCATGATATATTCATGTATTCAGGTACTCACGCCTAGTATGTAAAGGCGATAGATACACTTGCTGCAAGGCATGAAGATAAATACATATAACTATGATACGTACAAATAGTACAAATATATATATATATAATTTAAATATGAGCAGTTAATACTATATAATGCGATAATATTCATAATTAATTATATCTGTATTGAGTAAACACTTTATCTAGGTCGCCCTTTGCACTGAAATAATAATAGTAATAATATTAATAATGACAATGATAATAATGTATTTATAAATTAAATATATTACCTAACATTATATATATATTTATATATAATGATGTTGACGTATACATATATATATACATATATATATATATATATAATACCCCTAGCACGTGTCTCTTACACGTTGTTTGTTTGTCTTCGCGAGTTCCTGTCTCTGTTACGAAGACAGAGTTTGTCGTTTTGCTGCTTTTTTCTTCTTCTTCTTCTGCTTCTGCTTTTTCTCCCTCTTTTTCTTTTGCTTCTTCTTCTTTATCTTCTTTTTCTCGAGAGGAAGCTGATTCTTCTTCTTGTCCCCCGCCTATTATCCATCTAATGGCACAGCAGCAGCAGCAAACAACAGCAAAACAAAGAAAATAAAGAAAAACAAACAACATCAGATCAGCACTGTACGCTGCAAACAAATGCAGCAGATTCATATCTCCCTCGTACCCACCAAAGGCGAGGCAACAGCAGCAACAGCAGCAACAGCTGCAGCAGCAACAGAAAGAGCAGCGGCAACAGCAGCTGCAGGAACACCAACGAGAGAAGAAACAGCAACAAAAGCAGCAGCACAAATAGAAGCAGAAGCAGCAGCAGGACCAGCAGCAACAATAACAGCAGAAGCAGCGACAGCACCAACAGCAGCAAAGCGAAAAGCACGAACAGCAGCAAGAACACCAGCAGCACCGGCACAGGCAGAACGATGGAGAGAAGAAACAGCAGCAAGAACAGCAGCAGCAGCAGCAGCAACAGCAACAGATTGTTATTCCTTTTTACTTGTGCTGCAGCGCTTGCTGAGCTGTGAGGCGTTTGCGTTGATCTACCGCCAATAAAGAAGAGATGAAATCGACAGCGAGAGGCGAAGGCACAGCGGGGCCCTCAGTATAACTAAAAGAAAACACAACAACCCCACCCTTATAAACACCCTACACTACACACTTTGCTGAACCTCAGTATATATGTATGTTGAGTTTCTTCATATATATATGTATATATATATGTATATATATATATATATATATATATATTGTTTCTTTAGGGGAGATATATAGATAATGCTGTTCCTTCCTGTTAACTGCATTTTAATTCTGCTGCTCTCATACTTAGTGGCACAAGTATTATTATTATCAGATATTATTATTATTAATTATAATGTAATCAATATAATAATTAATTTAAAAACATCTACAAGACAAGGAAAGCAAAAACCTTTACTTGTCGATGGAGCATGCATTCATGCGTATACACCAATTTGCATACATAAACGCATGCATGCATACATAAACATCTGCATGCATGCATGCATGAACATGTGCATGCATGCATGCATATATAAACATCTGCATACATGCATGCATAGACATCTGCGAGCATGCATGCATGAACATGTGCATGCATGCATGCATGCATGCATGAACAGTTGCATGGATGCATGTGCATGGATTTAGTATGTTTGATCTTGTGGTGTCTGCAGAGCTTGTTAGCAAAGAAAAACCTTACTCAATTTTTCCACTAAGGATACGTTTGCAAGTAGAGTAAGTAGAAGAACCAGTAAAAGGAAAGCGTCGATAAAGCATAACGAAGAGAAGAACGCCCAAAGACCAAACATCAGCAGCAAAAGAATACACCCGGCATAATACTTCAGGAGAAAGATAATGAAGAGAACCGCAGATCTAAACAACATACAATGCGCAAACAAACAAAACCCAAAAATGTTATATATCCTCTATATATGCATGCATATATATATATATATATATATATATATATATGCATATATATGCATGCATGAATATTATATAAAGAATAAAAAATCAATACATGTATGGGCTAAGAGTGAATACGAGTTCTGCAACTTCACTCTTATTCTATTTTTTATTCTATTTTATTTTGCGTTTAGTGTCGGCACCGAGGAAACGACAGAATATACATATCATAGGTTATATATACATATATATATATACATATATATATAGGGGCTACTATAGAAATATAATAATAGTGGACGGAATAACAAAGCGAAACACACAAAATAATGTAAAAGACATTCAAACGTATGCAATACATCTACGCACAAATACACACACCCAATATATATATATATGTATATATATATACATATATACATATATATTATATATATACACTGTTGAGTATAGTACTCAACAGTGTACATTAATATATAT